ATGGCGGCTGATGGCTTTGTGCAGGGCTGGTGGCCCTGGATTTCTTGCAGACCTGGTCCTCGAGCAGCTGCTCAGCCTCCAACCCCTACCTCACCCTCAAACCCGGTCCCCAGGAAAGGGTAGAGGTCAGAGACTTGTCCCACCTTTTGAAAAGCTGCTGAACTCCCAGCTAAACATTGTCTTAAAGACAACTGCTAGACCTCAGACAAGGCAGAGGAGAGAGGCAGGAAGGAGGTGGGGTGGCAGGTAAGGAATGGAGTGTAGGTGACAAGGAGGATGAAAAGAAAGTGGTACGCAAGCGGTCGAGGCAGAATGTTGGCTCAGCTTCCAACAGCAGTCCCACCACCAGCTGCTTCTGTCCGGTCTTCAGACATCTCTGTCCTTGCCCGTGTCTGTGGTGTTCACCGCCCTCTGTCCCATCCCCCCATCTGTGGCATTTCTCTCTAGGCCACACATGCATGGACCACACCTGTTCCGTACTCCTTCTCCATCTCCGACTCACTCCTTTTTTCCTAGCATTTACTCTAGAAATCTCTAGACATGATTAATTTAAAGTGTGTGTGCGCTTGTATTCATTCATTGTACTTTTTATTGAAATAACTGGAAAAGAATCCATGCCCTTTAGGTGGTGTGACATAACTTCTAGGGAAAGAGAAACAAACTGTGATGGCTTTGCTAGCGTGGAAAATGGGGGCATTTACACAAAGACTCTGCAGTCTCCTCTGGGTCTAAGCCCACTCCTCTGGGTCTTTTCCCACTTGAAAGAAAAGTTCTCTAAAAAGAAAACAAACATGCCAAAATTAATTGAAAGATATCACAACTCTTACTGTAATTTGATTAATGGATATTGTTTTAAATATTTCAGGTCACAGGGCCAGCCCCAGTGGCGTAGCGGTTAAGTGCGCGCGCTCCGCTGCTGGCGGCCCGGGGTTCGGATCCCGGGCGCGCACCGACGTAGCGCTTGTCAGGTCATGCTGAGGCTGCGTCCCACGTACAGCAATTAGAAGGATGTGAAACTATGATGTACAACTATCTACTGGCGCTTTGGGGGAAAAATAAATAAATAAAATTATTAAAATAAATAAATAAATAAAATAAAATATTTCAGGTCATGAAAGCCAGAAAACATACATTCTCTCTGGTATATATAATCTTAAAAATATTTTCAAAACTAACCTTTGAAAAATTGCTCAGAAAAATAGAACAAATAATGAGCGTTTTCAGAATTGATAATTATATGAACAGAGAGGTTGAAAACACACACCTTATTTACCAAGGGTGTGCTACCTACTCCATAAATAAGTTTAAAATGCTTGGACGTGCTTCTTAACAGCTTCAGAGAAATATGACATTTCTGTGAGTTACAGCTACATTTGTACATTAAAAGCACAACAAACAGAAACACCTTTCCCTATTGTTGAAGATTTCTGTCAAGACCTGTTTTGTATTCCATCTCTCGATGTGAAATTCCACCCACCTCAGGCTTGGCATAACCACAATGTGCATGCTTAATCCAAAAATAAACAAAAATTACTAAGGGACCTAGTATATGCAAGCTAACATAATAGGCTATTTTCATCAAAATGGAACCCGGTGTGCTCACCATGGCTTGTCATCTGACCATCTCCTGTGTTCACCCATGATCTGGATGTTTCTCTAGGTCTGTGATTGGCAGTTCTATATTGGCTATAAACTCTGAGAGCTGGCATGGGAATTATTTTTTCTTAACCAGGACCATGGTGCACTGGGGGAGAAAAACCTATAAAGAACATTTTCCTATAAAAAGGAATATAATTTGGTATTTTTAAAATAAAAAGTTAATATTAACACTAAAGAAAATTTTATATGTTTCATAGCCCTATCAATTGGTGCAAAAGAATTTTGTAATATTCTGTCATCACAGTCATTCGTTTCTTGCACCACGACAAATCCCAGGCATAACTATTAAAAGCAGAGTAAATTAAGCCTATTACCTAAACTAAGGTGAATACTGTAGGGTTGTTGTCTTTTTTCCCTTGTATATTAAATTGCAAGTATGTATTGGTAAAATATTTTTGACCTGGTTTATAAATTGAATTGCACAATATGACACCTCATTGTGGGAATGAGTTGGCATGTAAATCTGAATTGTGAAATAGAAAAGTTTGAACTAATTGATTTTTAAGTGTTTTTTTAAAATTATGGTAAAATATACATAACAAAATTTACCATAACCATTTTTAAGTGTACAGTTCAGTGGCATTAAGTATACTCATAATGTTTTGCAATCCATTTCCAGAACTTTTCCATTATCCCAAACTGAAACTCTGTACCCACTACACAATAACTCCCCATTCTGCACCGTCCCCCCGCCTGCCCCTAGTTTCCTCTATTCTACTTTCTAACTCCATGAATTTGCCTATTCTAGGTCCCTCATATAAGTAGAATTATACAATATTTGTCCTCTTGTGTCTGGCTTATTTCACTTAGCATAATGTCCTCAAGGTTCATCTGTGTTGTAACGTATCAGAATTAATTCCTTTTTAAGGCTGAATAATAGTTCATTGTATGTGGACATTAATACATTGTGTTTATCCATTCATCTGTTGAGGGACATCTGGGTTGTTTCCACCTTTCGGCTGTTGTGAATAATGCTATGAACATGGGTGTGCAAATATCTGTTTGAGTCTTTGCTTTCAATTCTTTTGGGTATTTACTCAGAAGTGGAGTTGCTGGATCATATGGTAATTCTATGTTTAACTTTTTGAGGAACTGGATTAACCATCTGTGCTCAAATCTCGAGAATCAAACCCAAACCAACCAGCAACCCCCTTCTGGCCCAGAAGCTCAGCAATGATCAGAAATGGGCCATTCCGGAGGCAGCCACAAAGGAAACTGTTCCAGTGACTGTGGGAAGTACTCCCTGTCTCCCTTCCTGAGGGGGGGCCATCAGTGCACCCCAACTGTGCCAATTAGAGGAAGTCAAAGCATTTGAAGGGCACTTCCACCCTTCAGCTTAATAAAAAGAATGAAGAGTTTTCAAACATGAAAAAAGCCACAAACCAGAAACCAAAATCTTCAGAGGAATTAGAACAGGCATCTCCAAAGCATTTCTAAGACAATGGAACATGGAAGAATGTTGTCATCACTTGCCATTCAGTGGCTTATGGCAGGTCTGGGCAGGTTGGAACCACCAGGTGAGACAGGATGGGGGCAGATCTTACTGCAGCACTTTCCAGGTGCAGTCCAGGTAAACAGAGGTCTGTGTTGGCTCTGAACAGTGAAGTGCCGTGTTGGGGTGGGGAAGGTGACGCACAGATCAGACATCACAGGGCCTAAACTTAGAGGATTAATGCAGGTTATTATTGTACTTATCAACGCAACATTTACCCAGTTTCCGGGACGTAACTTTCCCACCATATTATCCATCCTTCACATCCCTGCCAGACAAGTCTTTTAAAAATCACCACTTGGCACATGACACCTCAGGGTTCAAACTCTTTGACTGGCTTCTGATTATTTATAATCATTGTCTCTCAAGGTTGGATAAAAGTAGCCCCAAGGCCACTCCCCTGAGAGGCAGAAAGACCCGAGATAAAGCTGGGGCAGCCTCTGCAGCACCAATTTTACTGGAAAATGTTTGGGAACTAGTATGACTTTTACATTAGAACAAACACTGCAATGTTACACAGGAGTAGGATGTTTGTATGCAGTTTAAGGATGAAATGCTGGCCTTCTGTGAAATTTGGAGCTTCACCTCTAGGTACAGCATACTATAAGAATAAGTTTAAGAGGTGGCCCCCTGGTTTAGCGGTTAAGCGCCTGCCATCTGCTACTGGTGATCCCGGTTCCGATCAGGGCGTGCACTGATGCACCGCTTCTCCGGCCATGCTGAGGCAGCGTCCCACATACAGCAACTAAAAGGATGTGCAACTAGGACATACAACTATCTACTGGGGCTTTGGGGAGAAAAAGGGAAAAAAAGGAGGAGGATTGGCAATAGATGTTAGCTCAGGGCTGATCTTCCTCACACACACACACAATAAATAAATGTTTACTTCCTCGAGCCTCAGGACCACCTTGGTTGGGGGGGGCGGGCGGGCGGGCACACAAAGATTAAACTCCAAACTCTCTAATCTGGGCAGTTAGAACCATCCCTGGCTTGGCCCCTGGGAGCCATCGGTCCAACCCGTTCCTGACTTTGCAGAGGTCAGATCACTTTGCTCTTTACTCCTCACTGCTTCTGCTTTTAGTCAAGGCAGTCTGAACTTTGGGACAAGGCATCCCAGCTCTGTCACTTCTGGCAAGTTAACCTCTCTGTGCCTCAGTTTTCTCATCTGGATAACAGTAGGGCTGTCGGGAGGATTATAGGAGCTCATGTGGTAAAGCATTTAGAAGTGTCTGGCTAGCAGCGTGCTTGCTCTCTGTACATGTTAGGCATCCTGTTAGTATTTCCTTCTACGCGAAGGCCTCCTCTTCTCTTGACTAAAAACTATTCCAGTCTTCACCTATTCATGGTGGCCCAGCCCTAAGCCCACCTGGTCCTTTGCACGCACGCAGTGTCAGGGGAAGCTCACACCCCCACCCCTTACTGGCAATTTCAGAACCAGCTCAGATGTAAATAGTAAGGCGAAAGCCTGAGCATCTGCTTTTTAGTTTATTAGTTTGGCTTCACGGAAACTGCCAGTGTATCGAGATAAGGAAAACAAGAACGGCGGGATATCGGCCAGTTTCGAATCCTCGACAGGGGCAAAACGTTAATGAGGGAAAAGTGGGCTTCACGTGTGCCTCCACGCCCCCCGTGCTCTCCCTTCCCCATCAAGCGGGTCGCCTCGCGGTTACACGCGCGGGCGCCTCCGTCCCTCCTCGGTTGAGCGCGGGGCAGGCGGTGTGGCTCTGGGAGGACCAGACGGCCCTGGCACGATCCCACCGTACCTGCTCTCCCTCCCGAAGTCTAGCAACCCAAAGTAATCTCGGCTCGCCTAGGGGAGCGTGCCCCGCCCCCTTCCCGTGGCGCCCAGCTGCTGAGAAAGCAGAGCGAGACCCTACCCAGCGATCTCGACCCCCACAAGCGCGCCGGAAGGGACTTCCACCTGGGCGCCCCGGCCTCCGCGTTCCGGGCCGGTCCCAGCGCGGGGCGGAGCTGGCCGGTCGGGAGCTCGCCCCGCCCCGCCTCGCAGTAAACTGACCGTGTGGCAGCCGGGCGGGGGCCTGGAAGGGGAAAGAAGGGGAGGAGAAAGGAGGGAGGAAAGTGGAGCCTGGCGGGCCGGAGGGAGGAAGGGAAGGGGCGGAGGCGCAGGGCAGAGTGTGCCGGCGCGCGGGGC